AAAATAATAAATAAAACCATTAAAAAGAAACGAAGTCCTGATGCATTATATGACATAAACGAACCTCAAAAACATTATGCTAAGAGTAAGAAGCTGGACACAGATTGCATGACTCCCAGAAGAGGCGGATCTGTAGGTGCTGTGAGTGGACCAGTGGTCCAGGAGCTGGGGGAGATTGGGAGGGGAAGGACTGCTCCTGAATATGGAGTTGCTTTTGGGGGTGATGTAAATGTTCAAAAATTTGATAGTGGTGATAGTTGTACAACCTTGTGAATATACTAAAAACCACGGAATTGTACACTTTAAAACAGTAACTTTTGTGATATGTGAATTAGATCTCAAGCCATTAAAAATTTTTTTAGTCTAACTTGAGGATGAACTGAAGCCAGACCCAGGTCTTCTGATCCTTCCTTTCAGTTTTTGTCTTTCCTAAATTAAATTTACAAAATGAGAACAGACCATGTGACAAAGATTAGAGATTGGAACAGTCCAGAGAATCTTTCAAGCCAATGTCTTGAACCTGGCTGGACAGGGCAGCCAGGGAGGAATTAGGTGTGGGATGGGCAGCTGGGTGACAGTAGGTGGAGCACATCTCCCAGGGCCTGGATGGGCCCCAGATCCCCTTACTGTAACCTCATCCCCTTAGGCAAGAACCACACCCTGCCCTTCTGAGATAAAATCCTAACTCAGGGAGTCACTAACATGCAAGCCTGTGCTTTAGTCCACTTGGGCTGCCATAACAAATGCCGTAGATGGGGTGGCCCAAATAACAAACATTTATTTCTCACACTTCTGGAACCTGGAAATCCAAGGTCAGGGTGCAAGAGATGGAAAATCATCAAGAATATTTCTATGAATAAGTGATTTACCAATTGTCCCTCCATTGGTACATGGATTGGTGAATTGTCCATCCGTTGGCCCACCCATCCTTGGCACTGGGGAGCACAGGATGATGCTTTGCTAATTGGCATGATTAACTCATTTGGCATAAGAGGTACCTAAAAGTTTGTCACTAGGAATACCATGCAAATGCAGACAGCCAGGGAGTATGAGGCCTTTCAAAGACCAATTCACAATGACAAGGGCACACACATACATTCACCCACACACATGCACATGTATATTTTTTTCCAAAAAACAAAGATTCCTTGGTGAACCAAGGATAAGTTTGCAGCTCATGAACTGGCAATATTTTAAAGCTTATTATTTTGCTCACTTATGTAATGTAGTCCCACTCATGGGGCCATCAAGAATAGTCAGTGAACACTAATATGAAAAATCAGAGCTTCATCAGAGGACACATTCTCTGTGTTCAGACTTTATAGTTTTTGTCTTTCTCAATTTTTGACAATTCCCTTACACTGTCCCTCAGTGGATTCTCATTAGAAATAACTAACTAAATAAATAGGCTCCATGTTAAAAGAGATAATAGTGGCTACAGTTATTGTAATTCTGGAAGATTCTAAAAAGTATAAAAAGTATGTGTTTCTATCTAAACATTTACTTCCCGGTTTCACCCAAGTATTTAGGATTGAAAAAAAAGCATTATAGTTGAGGGCTGCTTTTTCCAAATTACCAAATGAGTTAGTGTTTTTTATTGTTTCAAGTGATAGTAAAAAGAAAGGATTTGTTCCATTCAATGATTTGTGTGTTTATAAATATTTCCAGCAAAGGTAAGGCAGAAAGGAGTTGAAATTTATACCATTTGTGAATAAAGGGTTTTTTGAGGTGGATAATGATATTAATGTTTTCATTCTACACTTGTCCCTATTTAAACAGGCTGTTTCTTTGAAGAATATGCCTACAAAACAATATTTCTAAAGATCCGCAATGAGTACCATTTCAATTACTTGCCATTCTTCCCACCTCCAATACCAAAGGCCAGTCTTTCTAACATGTGCTTGCCTGGGTAAAGTTCATGTCAAATTGTGTGTATATATTTCCTTCCGGTGCATTACAGTAGGGTTTCACCTGCAAACAGTAACTGATGGCCCACGTATAAATAAAATTCAGCATCCTATTTTTAATAATTTGTATGCCACCAATTTGTATTCTTTGTCTCAATAAATACTTAGTCATCTAAAAAAAAGCATAAAAAGTATGAATCATCCTTTGTCAATTTAAGCTACTTTAGGTTGGATCTTTATAGCACAGTAGATGAGGTCACATATCCTAGATTACTGCCTGAGCACTCACCCGACCTTTAAAGGGAAGGGGAGCCAGGAGTACTGAAAATGGAGACAACAGAGATCAGAGCCCAGGGTTGAGGAAGTGAGAGGAAAGCCTGCACTTGGATCGTCTGATGAGGTTCTCTGCAAAACAGGATAATCCAAAATCTCAGAGCAGGCTCTCTCGGTTCCTCTTGCCACAAAAATAAAAACCATCACCCTTGCATCAGAGGTCAATGGATCAGAGTAATCCTGGTCTTAAGTATTGGGAAAAATCTCTGTCCTAGCCACAGAGCAGAAGACAGACAACCAGGATGATGAAGTCTTTACTGCTGCCTCCTAGACTTAGCAGTAGACAGTGAGACCTAATACAACCTCAACCCACCCAATACGATGGTTCTGGATTCCCTGGCTTGGGATAGCAAGGCATCCTGCCATCTTTAGCCTGGCTCTGCCTGATCATGGTTTTCATTCAGGGTACACCTGAGAGCAGATGGATGGGCAAGACACTGCCAATGTACCTCCAAAGATTATTCCATGGCTTTGGAATAGGGACCTTCCAGTGACTAAGGGGAGAACAATATCCTGGCCAGGCTCACCTCTTTGATTTCTGAGTCATTAAGCTAGTATCAAATGAAATGCAAAGCAGCCTGAAAAAGGCATCTTTTCCAAGCATGGAGGCTGATGCCTATAATTCCAGCAATTTGGGAAGCTAAGACGAGAGGATCACTGGAGCCCAGGAGTTTGAGACCAGTGTGGGCAACAAAGCAAGAATCCTCTCTCCCCCAATTTTTTTTAAAAGGTAGCTTTAGGTCTGCTAAATGTGGAGATACGAGATTAGGTGTAATGTGAAAAAGTAGCTTTTCCTTATTAAAGACAGATTGTTAAGTGAGAAAATAAAAGTGTAGATATGTATACAAAGCATGACTTTTTATTCTCTAGGAAGAACTTGTTTAGGAACATAAAACACAGAATAAGGAATATGTGTGTAGACACAATTCTATGAGGATAATACTATACTGAAAATTTCAACTTTGTTTATGTACTTATTTTTAAGGAAGTGGTCTTCCTATATTGCCCAGTGTGATGTCAAACTCCTGGGCTCAAGCCATTTTTTTGCCTCAGTCTCCTGGTAGCTGAGATTACAGGCACAGTTCTCACCTCCATGCTGGTATTGCTCAATGCCTTCAAGAATGAAGAATCTCGGCCTGGTGCAGTGGCTCACACCTGTAATCCTAGCACTCTGGGAGGCCAAGGTGGGAGGATTGTTTGAGCTCAGGAATTCAAGACCACTCTGAGCAAGAGCGAGAAAAAGAAAAATAGAAAGAAATTAGCTGGAAAACTAAAAACATATAGAAAAAATTAGTCAGGCATGGTGGCGCATGCCTGTGGTCCCAGCTACTTGGGAGGCTCAGACAGTAGGATTGCTTGAACCCAGGAGTTTGAGGTTGCTGTGAGCTAGGCTGATGCCACGGCACTCTAGCCTGGGTAACAGAGTGAGACCCTGTCTCAAAAAAAAAAAAAAAAAATGAAGAGTCTCATTTTGGAGACAAAACCATCAAGGTGACCATTCTAATCATGTGCTGATTTTAATCCATCTCAAATTAGACATCACCACTAAAACTTCTCTGAAGTGTTAAATATTTCACCATCCACTGAGGTTTCAACATGGTTATTTCTGTTAACCTTCTCAATCAATATGTAGCCATTGTTGATAGGTTTTTGTGATTTGCATTTTACAACTATTCTTCTGCTGTAATATTAATTCCTCATATAGAACATTCCCTGCTGACACCACAGAAATAAATAATAATCACTTCCCAACAATGACATGAACTCAAAGGATTTAAAATGCTCTCAATATCTTCAGGTATTGAGCATCACGTTTGAAGACAGTAGCTATTACCAATACTAAGATACCATCTGCTTCATTGTTCTTTTTCTCATACTGATGTCAGATTCCTAAAAGGGATTGAATATAAATTAGGATATCAAGTAAGGGATATTAAGTGAATAAAAGTTTTGCTCAATGAATTGGATGCTACAATTCATTATATAGGCAGAAGAGTTGTTCACTGTGTAAAGTACAAAGATTCACCTTTGTACTTATGCTTTAGGAGAACACAAGATCTCTCCTCTATCTTCCTTGTCATGGCCCTATCAGTAGTTCTCTCTTTTCGTTGACAAACAACAGAAACAAAAAACAGACTCTAAACCTGCCAAGTGCAGCCATTTGAATTAATATACAACAATACTGGCCGGGCGTGGTTGCTCATGCCTGTTATCCTAGCTCTCTGGGAGACCGAGGCAGGTGGATTGTTTGAGCTCAGGAGTTAGAAACCAGCCTGAGCAAGAGCGAGACCCCGTCTCTACTAAAAATAGAAAGAAATTAATTGGACAACTAAAAATATACAGGAAAAATTAGCCAGGCATGGTGGCGCATGCCTGTAGTCCCAGCTACTCGGGAGGCTGAGGCAGGAGGATTGCTTGAGCCCAGGAGTTTGAGGTTACTGTGACCTAGGCTGATGCCACGGCACTCACTCTAGCCCAGGCAAAAGAGTGAGACTCTGTCTCAAAAAGAAAAAAAAATACAATAATACTTATTAGCCTCTGTTTCCAGTGGAGGCATTTTGTGTCTGAAGAACTGTATGAAATTATATGTGAGTTTGCATTTGTACCCTTTGAGAGCATGCTGAATAATATTTTTAGTGTCTGGGAGCTTGAGATTCCCCAAATCTGAAGTGACTTTTTTTTTTTTTTAATTTCCCTAAGACAGCCTCTCTCTGTCCTCTGGCTACAGTGCTGTGGTGTGATCATAGCTCACTGTAACCTTGAACTCCTAGGCCTCAGCTATCCTCCTGCCTCTGCCTCCTCAGTATTTAGGACTACAGGTATGCACTACCATACCTGGACAATTTTTCTATTTTCTGTAGAGACAGTGTCGCTCTTGCTCAGGCTGGTCTCTAACTCTTGGCCTCAAGCGATCCTCTCCCCTTGGTCTCTCACAGTGCAAGGATTAGGGGTCTGAGCCACTGCGCTGGCCTGAAATGACATTTTTCCAAACACTTCGGTGATTAGTTACAGACAGTAATCCCCCAGAATTTTAATGTGGCCTTTTAAGGAGAGGGGAGACCATCCTCTGCCCTAGGACACAGTGGCGCCATTTAAGGAGAGGCCCTTCAGGTAGACTCTGTCTGCACAGCACCTTCCAGGAGCCCCTTGACGGCATCGGGACAGGAGGGAACTACATTACCCAGAAAGCTCTGCCTCGAAAGACAAAGCAAAGGAGCCAGTGAAGGCTCAGAGAAAAAGCGTTTCCGTGCGCGCTCGTAACGTCCGGGCGGGACTTCCGGCGTCCTCGAGGATCGGCCATTTTGGTAGGTGTTGGGTGTGGTTGTCTGGTGAGAGTGCGGGGGCTCTGGGTGGGGACCGAGGTGACCGGGCCAGACGGTGGAGAGGAGTTGTCCTTCCTGCACAGAGGCGGCTCTGAGGCTCCGTGAAGGCACCCAGCCTGACCCGCGCGAGTTCCAGGAGAGCGACTCCGTGCCGGGTCCTTGCCCGGGTCTCCCGCCTCTTCAGGCCCCGCTCCGCCCACGTAGTCCAATGGCCGCGGCGGAGGTGAGGGACCCGGCTCAGGTAATTGTTGTGTCTGCCACGCCCTGACTGCCCCCTCTCCTCTCCATCTTCACCCAAGTCGCAAAGTCCCGAGTGAGGTGTACCTGCTCACATCTCTTCAGCGTGGACCCCTGTGTCTGGGACAGTGAGGCGCTCCTGGTGGGGGGTCCCTTTTTCTCACATCCAGTGGGATGGGATGTGGAAGAGTGTGAGAGGCAGAGGGACCGGCACATGCGAATACTTTGGAACCTGGGATCGACGTGTGCCTGTCGGGACAAGGTGTGAGGCGGAGTTACTCCTGAAGAGCAGGTTGAAATTTGTACTTTCATTGTGAGGATGCTAGAAGCCTTGGAGAGTTTGGAATAAAGAAGGGACATGGGCAAAGTGGATAGAGGTGATGAGGACCTTGAAGCACTGAGAGGTTGAATCTTTGTTGTAAATCACATAGGTGGTAAGAGATGACATTTTACACTGAGGAACTGAGGTCAGACAATCAGCTCCAGGTCACCTGGTTCCAAGGCCAAGAAAGGGTACAGTGAGGCCTGAGTTTATCAGATCCCATCAGGAGCACATTCCTATAAAGTTTGCTTCGTCTATCAAGTAGTCATGGCTGCTGAAGCGCTTGAGAAACCCAGACATGGAAGTGGAGGGTGTACCATTCCCTCACTGGCCCTTAAGCCCCACCTACATGTTCTGTAGATTGTGGTATCCTGAGACTCTTATGTGGCTTTTTTTTTCAATCCTTTGCTCTTGGGACCCTGGAGAAGCCCCAAACCTAGGATCCTAAGTTTATGACACAGGTTATATGGAGGTATTCCCATTTCTGTGAACTGATGTAAATATACTTGTAAGGTTAACCTGGGAGTTAATGCTGGATTTCAAATGCTTAGAGGTAAAACTGATCCGAGAGGGGAGGTGAAATTACCACAATTGCCTCTGTCCATAGGCTCCATTTGGGCTGCATGTTGGAGAATAGACTGCGGTTGAGGGAGGCAGATGGAAGATCAGAGTTGAGGCTTCTGTCATAAGCCATGTGAGGGGTTAATGGACGAGCTTCAAGGCTAAGGAGATGTGGCTGGATTCAAGATTCATATTTTGTAGAAGGGCATCTAGTATTTCCTAATATGGATGGTGAGGGCCTGTAAGAGAGGGAGCAGGTATATCCTAGGTTTTTTGATCTTAGCACCTGTAACAATGGGAGCTGCATCAACTATGATGAACAAGTTGGTATTTGGTATAATATTCATTGGGGATAGCAGGAGGGTTCTTTTGGCATGTTAAGCCTGAGACATTTCAGAGGCAATTAAGTGGAGACATTAAATAGGTAACTAGACATACAGGGTGGGCTATCTGGGAAGACATTGATATTGGAGACATCCGTTATATAGTAGCTAATGTATTGACTAAGGTAAGTTAGCCATGGGTCACATTTAGGAGGGGTAGTGTTCAGATAATCGTGGCAAAGCTATTAGGTGGCCAAGAAGAGATGGTTGGAGGTTAAGGACTAGATCTCTTGCTTGAGTCCGTTTGTGACCTTATTGGCCTTCTTGAGCACAGGAGAGGGAGGTAAGTGACTATGAAGGTAGAATGTATCAGACAGCATAGTGTAGCAGAAGATACAGGGTTCCAAGAAGAGAATAGATGTGAGACACATGCAAAAGCACGTCAGTAATTGTGGGAAGATGACACTCAGGCTGGTATTAGTGCTTATTCACCACTCTTTGGGCTCCCCAAGATTTTGAGACAGTTTTGTGCTTGATGTGTGTGTGGTGGGGGGGCGGTTTCCATTCAGCCTGGTGGATATGGTTAGGGAGAACTGTGGTCATCTGTGAAAGTCAGTAGGCCTGGGGTGTATGACCAATGGGACTGGGTTTTAAATGGCTTTAGGTGGACAGAGGAAAGTCGTTGTTGTTGAGGGGTCAGGCAGGGCAACAAAGAAGTGGTATAGGCTGGGCATGGTGGCTCACACCTGTAATCCTAGCACTCTGGGAGCCTGAGGCAGGAGGATTGTTTGAGGTCAGGAGTTCCAGACCAGCCTCAGCAAGAGTGAAACCCCATCTCTACTAAAAAAAAAATAGAAAGAAATTAGTCTGGCAACTAAAAATAGAAAAAAAAGTTAGCTGGGCGTAGTGGCACACACTGGTAGTCCCAACTACTCCTGAGGCTCAGGCAGGAGGATTGCCTGAGCCCAGGTTTGAGGTTGCTATGAGCTACACTGCTGCCATGGCACTCTAGCCCAGGGAACAGAGCGAGACTCTGTCTCAAAAAAAAAGGTATAAGGCCATGGATATCTGGAACCACATGTAGATCTGTATGGCTACAGAACTATGCAAGGATACCTTCATAGAATGATTTGAGACTGCCACTTCTGGTGGGAACCATGGGCATTGTGTGGTAATATTGTATCCTTTTTGAAGTTGCCAAACATACTCTGCATGCTGTCAACCACATTGTGGTGTGAGGCCAAAAATGAAGCCTGAATATGATGTCACACCTTGACGTGTGGTGAGACTGGCACAACCTCGAATGGCTTGAGTTCAAATGCCATTCTCACTCTGCTGTCTTAGATAATGTATCCTAGGCTTAATAAACCTTTTCATCAAGGGGACCAGGCAGAGTTCTTGGTTATTATACTTTATTGTCAGTTTCCATTCCATCCCTATTCCCAAAGATATTCAAACAAGCCAGTTGCATCCTTCCAGGGGAATCAGGGATCATCACACCGTCTTCATCCTACAGAGCTTGCAAAAGACACTCTCTGGTTGCTGATTGTTATCCATAGTGCAAGTTCTGTGTGGCCCTCTGTGGTGAGTGGTATTCTTTTCTCCCAGGCTGTGAGTATATTTGATTTGTAAATTGCTGTTGATGGTATCTGTCCATTGTAGGATGTCATGTGTTTGACCATCACTATTACCCTAGAGTGAGAATCCCACCCTCCACCAGTAGAAAAAAAGCAGGGCATTAAAATACTTCAACCTCTAGTGAGGCTAGAGAGAGGCTGCTGGTGGGGGCCAGTCAAGTGTGGATGGCCACAGCCATGTGTCTTTGCAGTCTAAAGAATGAGGTGTATTTTGAGAGGGAATTTGTCTGATAGACCTGGAATACTATATCAAGAGTTACATGACCTCAGCCATAACAGAAATTGCTTGTCAGGAGGGTGGATCCTTTGTATGTCGGGACCATAGCATAGATATCTCTTTGTCCACCTGTTTCTTGTTGATGATGGCTCTATCCCATGATCACTGGGCCCATGAGGACACAAAGGCATCAACGGGCCTAGTTTCTAGTCTTGAGTTAGGGACCCTGGGAGAAGGTGGGCAAGGGTTGATGTGTGGGAGAGATGGATTGTGGAACCTCACCATAGGGGCTGCTTATGGATTCATCTTTCCCCATCATAGCAGGGCTCTGTGACCTTTGAGGATGTGGCTGTAAACTTTTCTCGGGAGGAATGGAGTCTCCTTAGCGAAGTTCAGAGATGCCTGTACCGTGACGTGATGCTGGAGACTGTGGCACTTTTGTCCTCCCTGGGTAAGGCCCTCACACTCATCCTGTGACCTGATCTAGTCTCTGCCCCTTCCCTTTTTCCGCATTGGCTACAATGTCTTTCTCATATCAGAACCATGGATGGACACAGTGTCCTCCCTCAGTTCTGTGGGTAGGTTCTGTAGTTGGTAAGAGTGAGGTGTGTATACCTCCCTCTCTTCTCTTTGAGCAGCCCCAACACCTGCTTCACTTCAGGCTCCCAGGGAAGGATTGAGGGTCGGGATTCTTGGAGTCACCCTAATGCATTCCACCTTGCTTGCCCTCTGGCTGTCTGGATGACTTTGTCCAGATATAAGACTCCTGTGTGCCCAGGTTCTGCTTCCTTTCCCTAGTTGACGTTTCTTCATGCCTTCCTGTGGCAGGAATTGCCATCAGTGACATTGTCACTGCCTACACAGACCATAGCTGTTCTTGCAAGACGCTCCTTAGCGCTTCTCTTTATAATACTTAGTTTCCTCTCCTGTGGGCTGTCCCATGCTGAGTTGTTTTGAGCCACTGTTGGCTGTTCATCTGTCCTATCATTTCCTGTCATGGGACCCTATCATCCAGGTCCATGTACTTGGTCATGGTGATGGTAGGATGGTCCTGAAGATACAAATGAATGCATCCTCAAGGTGATGGGCTCAGAGGGAGCCTGTCCCAGAGGATTAGCAACCTGGAGGAGGGCACGATGTCAAGGCTCTGTTCAAATCATATCAGAAAATTATTTTATTTGACTAGTATTTCTGTGGCCATACAAGGAGACACACACTATTTCTGTCTTCCCCATTCTTGAGAGTTTTCAGAATTGTTGGTTCTACACCTTATCATTTCTGCTATTACATCCATCCCGAGATTAACCTTCCCATCCATGGACTCCATGTCTCACGCATTTTTCTTACATCTCTGTTTGCAGCATACTCCAATTTTGGCTTGTATATTTTGTGTTTTGAAGTTGGTACCCATTGTTAAACTGTCCCTGACCAACAGCTGCTGTGTGGTAGTCATATTTTCTCAGGCCTGGACATGTCCCACTATATAGCATTCACGTGTCATCAGATAAGGTCCTGCAGACAAGTTCTTTGCACAGAAAGTAGTTGCAAACCCTGTCTTTATGTGCTCTGTTGCATGTATGGTTGATGCCTGCACATGATATGGCCTCATACCTTCTGTGACCTTTATACCTCAGTAGTGCTAAGCCACCCTATCTTCAGTCTGAGTTCAGCACTCTATTCCTGCAGATATTTCCATGGGCTAATTCCTTAATTTGGCAGACACACGTGTGAGTGGGCTATGCATTTCCACCGGAAGTAACTTGTACTTCACCAATATTTTGTTGCTCTCAGGTGGTTGGTGTGGAGCTGAAGATGAGGCGACACCTTCTAAGCAGAACAGTTCTATACTAGGAGCGTCTCCAGTCAGGACACCTAGGACAAAACTGCCTCCCAAAAAGGCCCACTCCTGTGAAATGTGTGTCCCGATGTTGAGACACACTGTGCACTTGGATGGGCATCAGGGAGTGCATTGCAGGGAGAAACTGAATAGGTGTGGGGAAAAATTGTATGACAGTACAAATCTCCATCCGTGCCAGAAACAGCAAGAGAAACCCTGCAGAAGCATTGTCCGAGGAGCATCATTTTTAAAGAGCTGTAAGTCCTACGTGGCAGTGAAGTCATTTATCTTCAGTCAGGTTGAGAAAGACTTGGGATTACTCCAGAATGAGGCAACTCACACTGAGCAGAAGTCAAGCAGTGAAACTAAGTGTGGGCCACCCCCACAGGGGGAAAAAACTCATAATAGCTGTGGACAGTCCATGGAAGTCTCCAGTTCCAAATACATGCTTGCTCAGCACGAGAGACTTCTCCCTAGTGAAAGATGTTATGTGTGCAGTGAATGTGGAAAATCCTATAGTGGAAAGAAAAGCTTCAGTAATCATCAGAGAGTTCACACTGGAAGAAGATCTTATGAATGTGGAGAATGTGGGAAATCTTTTCGTCAAAAGGGCAACCTCATTCAACATCAACGAGGTCACACTGGAGAAAGGCCTTATGAGTGTAAGGAATGTGGAAAATCATTTAGGTACAAGTCCCACCTCACCGAACACCAGAGACTTCACACTGGAGAAAGACCTTATAATTGTGGGGAATGTGGGAAATCATTTAACAAGAAGTCTCATCTCCTTGTGCACAAGAGAGTTCACACTGGAGAAAGGCCTTATAAATGTGAGGAATGTGGGAAATTATTTAGCCATAAGAACTGTGTTAATATACACCGGAGAGTTCACACTGGACAAAGGCCATATGAATGCAATGAATGTGGGAAATCATTTCTCTCCAGCTCTGCACTTTATGTTCATAAGAGAGTTCACACGGGGCAAAAGCCTTATGAGTGTAGTGTATGTGGGAAATCCTTTGCTGAAAGCTCCAGTCTCATTAAACACAGGAGAATTCACACTGGGGAAAGACCGTATGAATGTGGGGAGTGTGGAAAATCATTTCATCGCAGTTCTTCCCTCCTCCAGCATCAGACCATTCACATTGGAGAAAAAGCCTTATGAATGCAGTGAATGTGGGAAATCCTTTGCTGAAACATCCAGTTTCAATAAACACAGGAAGGTTCACACTGGAGAAAGACTTTAAGAGTGCAGTGAAAGTGGAAAAAAATTTACCCAAGCTCTGCTATCACTGGACATGGGAGAGTTTACACTAGCAAAATCGTTACATGTGAAATAAATTTGAGGGATTCTTTAGACAAACCTCTGTGCTTCAAGATCAGAAACTTTACACTGGAACAAAGCTTTATGATTGTGACAACTGTGGGGGGTATTCTTTATCCAAAAGGCTAGCTTCATTCCATACAAGAGAGCTCCCACTGCAGAAGTGACTTTTGAGTGCAATAAATGTGAGAAAGCCTTCAGCCTTCTCTCATTGGTTACCAGAACATTCCCATTAGAAAAGCAACATAGATGTACAGGGAATGTTATTTATTGTTGAGTGTAACACTGGAGGAGATCCTTTATGAGGGTGCCAGGTGCCCAAATTGAATATCATAAATATTTTTAGTGCATATAAGTTTTCCTTCTCTATGTCCTCTAGATGAGAATCTGTCTACTGACATGTATTGATGTGGTTTTTT